CTCTGTCACCCAGGCTGGAGTGCAGTGGCACAATCTCGGCTCACTGCAGCCTCTGCCTCCTGGGCTCAAGCGATCCTCCTGCCTCAGCCTCCTGAGTAGCTGGGACCACAGGCGCCCGCCACCACACCCAGCTAATTTTGGTATTGTTAGTAGAGACAAGGTTTTGCCACGTTGGCCAGGTTGGTCTTGAACTCCTGACCTCAGGTGATCTGCCTGCCCTGGCCCCTCAAAGTGCTGGGATTACAGGGGTGAGCCACCATGCCTGGCCATGGTTCCCATTTCTTTGGGTACTAGAAAGTTAAGGTGGAATGTTGTTTTCAGAAAGTCCTCTGAAGCTTTGCACCTGGATTGGAAATTGAAGTTGCTTCTTTGTGCCTTAGATGTTCCAAGTAAGGGTGGCATATTTCATTCTTTCTGACATAGTTTCAAACTGGTTTCTAGTCTATCATTTCAGGGAACCAAGCTTCTCAGTCAGAGAGAAAACAGTAGTCACTCCAGGAAGCGGGTGTTTTGATGCTTTACAGCTGCAGCATGTCCTTGAGGGAAACATTATTTCTCTTTAACTTTGCAGCTAACTTTATTTGTATGTGTCCTCCCAGATTCATGCATAGCAGGGCATAGTTTTATTTTCTCAGTCCCAGTTAATTTATTTTCTCGGTTTTAAAGTCTGAAGAAATGGGCCAGGCACCGTGGCTCACTCCTGTAATGCCAGCACTTTGGGAGGCTGAGGTGGGTGGATCACTTGAGGTTAGGAGTTCGAGACCAGCCTGGCCAACATGGTGAAACCCTGTCTCTACTAAAAATACACAATTAGCTGGGCGTAGTGGCAGGTGCCTGTAGTCCCAGTTACTTAGGAGGCTGAGACAGGAGAACCGCTTGGACCTGGGAGGCAGAGGTTGCAGTGAGCCGAGATCATGCCATTGCCCTCCAGCCTGGGTGACAGAGTGAGACTGTCTCAAAAAAATAAAATAAAATAGCCTGCAGAAATGGTGAGATAGTGTTCTCTCTAACACCATTCAGGACAGAAAGAAAAAAAGAAAAAGAAAATGAATAAGCATTGAGATTTTACAGAGCAACTCTTACTAGTCTAACATAGTTAAGGGATATGGACTGGTATGTAGATGGTCTTGCTAAACTTTTCCACAGGAATCCAAGCTAGGGAAAACACCTTTGAACACAATACTGGCATGCAGGTTGATGTACAGAAAAGGGCACAGGCTGTCTAGCCAGCCAGGTTTGAATTCTGTCTCTAATGGGACAAGACATGGGCAAATTATTTGTCCCTGCTGAGGTTTTCATTAACAGATGTTCATGGAGCTAGTTACTCTACACACTCTAAACTGGATTTCTCTCATCAGGGTTATTGTGAGAATTAAATATGTTAACAGGCAAATATATTTAGCACTGTTCCTGTCCCCCAAAATATGCTACCCTGAGTCTTGAAATGTAAAGAAAAGTCTGGAGGAGGAGACTGTTGACTTATTGGCATTCAGGATCCTAACAAATAGGGGCAGAAATGATTGCAGCTTGCATGAGGGGAGCAGGAGTCTAAGGATAATCTTTAAGAACCAGAGACATATGGTATTTTTCCTAAAATGACCTTTTTCATATATTAATATTTCTGAAATCAGGATATAATATAAAATCTATTATGTATATTTAATAGGGTATTTCTTAATTTCAACTAGAATAGATCACTTTTAAAAATATATATATATTCTTTCTTTTTGCAGAGATGGGGTTTCACTACATTGTCCAGGCTGGTCTCGAGCTCCAGTACTCAAGCAGTCCTCCCATATTAGCCTCCCAGAGTGCTGGGATTATAGGCGTCAACCACCACACCCAGTCTAACATGGATAGATCTCTCAATGGTGGTTATTTTCTTTTAATTTCTAATTTTACTGCATTGCAAATAGTGAAATGGCCTGATTTCTGTCTTTTGAAATGTGTTGTAATTTTCTTTGTGTCTTAAAGCATAATCAGTTTTTTATATTTCCTTTTTTTTTTTCTTTGAGATAGAGTCTTGCTTTGTTACCCAGGCTGGAGTCCAGTGGCAAGATCTTGGCTCACTGCAACCTCTGCCTCCCAAGTTCAAGCGATTCTCCTGTCTCAGCCTCCCTAGTAGCTGGGATTACAGGCATGTGCCACCATACCCAGCTAATTTGTGTATTTTTTTCAGTAGAGACAGGGTTTCATCATGTTGGCCAGGCTGGTCTCAAACTCTTGATCTCAGGTGATCCCACCTGCCTTGGCCTCCCAGAGTGCTAGGATTACAGGTATGAGCCACTATGCCTGGCCTATATCTATGCCTTTAAATCAAACTTGCTCATTACATTACTTAAATCTTAAATAGCCTTATTTTTATTTATTTGATGTGTTGATTTTGTGAGAGATGTGTGTTAAAATCTCCCATTATGATTCAGAATTTGTTCAATTTTTCTTGATTACTAAAAGTGTTGGCATATTGT